TAACTCCGTGATCCACTCACGGCCTAATAATGGATTTCGATCGTAGTGAACCACATACATGTTCACGTCGCGCACATCATTTATATTGCGTACCCTGACCTTAACAAATCCTAACGGCGCAAACGTCTGTTTACAATATGAACGCAACCTTAATTGTGTCTTCTGTATCTTTAACCTTGGAAATATTTTCCGCAACCATTTTTCGCTCACCAGAGTGACCGCCGCTCCGCAATCTACTTTGAAGCTGACTCGCCGCTTTTCCAGGTAGAGAGAGACTGTGACGTTCTCGCGAAAACGGGCGTGTTCCGTCTCATCCAGTCTAAAAACTTCTTCTAATACGTGCATCTTACACTTCTTCTTGCAGACTTTTTATAAATGCCCTTGTCCGTCGCACTCGTGGCATTTTACATGTCGAGGAAGGGTGCAGTCAGGCGCTAGATGATTCCGTCCACACCTATAACAAGAAACGCTATTAGATTTCGAATTATGAGACGGTTGTGGTTTTGACTTATAAGGCGTGTTTTTTCCATGTTTGGACGTCTTCTGTTGTCCCTCGTGTTTAGCCTCGTCGTCCTTTTTTTTCACTCTTCTGGCGTCCGCTTCAACGAAATCTACGGCTGCGGCTGTCTTCGCTTTTAGCTCACTTACGCCCTTCTCCGCCAACTTCATCCCGCTGGCTGTCTTCAATGTTGATTCCATCGTCAAGTTTGCTGTCTCCACGAACCGTCCTTGAATCCGTTGGTTCCGCAGCCCATACACGACGTGGTTTCTGAGTTCAGTCTTTAAATATTCCCCGAACTTATAGTGTAGCGACAGCTTTTGCAACGCCGCCATGTATTCTTGAGCGCTTTCTTCTGGCACGTGTACGCGTTTCTGAAAAACGAAAATTTCCGCTATCTTTAATGGTTCCGGGGCATAATATTCCTTCAACTTATTTAACAAGGTGTCGTAAGGACTTTGGTATGGATCCTCCGGATCTAGTCGATTGCACAGGATTCCAAATGCTTCTACGTCCAGAAAATGTAACAGATACGCGACCTTCTCTTGTCCCTCTTGTATTCGAAATACCTTAAACGCTCCTTCCAACCGCTGTAGCCATCTTTGAAATGTTTGCTGCTTCGGATCAAAGAAATCCACGCAAATGGTGCTACGTCCGGAAGCTTGTTCCGTTGGCTGCTGGGTCAGCTGTCCAGAAATACCTACGTCGGAGAGTTGAGCGCTCTGATTCAGCATCTTTGTCGAATGCTTGACCGTCCTTCTAGAGCGCTCCGCGCCCTGCACTCACTGATCACGTGGCTTCTCTACACCAGTGTCCACGTGCTCTGCGCGTGTCTTACGTATCATTCTTTGTCTGGTGACTACGTAAAATCCCATCCTCGTCGCCAACTGTTGTATATTTCATTTTTAATGTACCACTCGGGTTCGATATATATATATATGTATTTCCGTAATATAATAACTGTCTGAGTGATTTGCGAGATCGCTGGTTGGAACAAAACTCCGATCCCCGCGGGCTCTGCACACACGTTCACGTCCCCTATCGGAGAGACGCGGATCTACCTGTGTCGCTAGCCTTGCGGACGCACGTTTCTTAGAAGACGCGCGCTCGTCGGGATAGTGAACGCGCGCTACTTAGCCGATACATAACACAAACGTTATCTGTAGCGTAAAGTGTCAAAATGTATTCAATACGTACGAACGTTCAAATAAATTTCATAGAACATCCGTAGACGTATTTTTTTCATAAAAAATGTTTTTTATCATAAATTTTCGAGTTACAAGTATCACGAAATCTACTTCACGTCCTAGAATACGAAAGCAAACATAATGATGCAACATATTACAAACTCTGTGCCAAAAAGTGAAACATATCCTTCGTACGTACGCACTTCTTGGCATCAAAAATTTAAGGGAAAAACTAACATACAGATAAACTATTACTTATCTAATCGATAATGTGATTCGTGTTGAACATGTTCATATAATCATTATGACGTTTTAATACTTACATAATTCTAAAAATCAGCAGTTTGACGTTCGCTACCACTAAGATGTGTCATCTAGAAATGCCCTTCGAGAGCCACTGAAACGCGCGACGCGCCCCCGTCACTGTCGGTACGTTAAGTACGAAACATTAAAAAAAAAGCGTTTGTGCAAAAATCAACAGTAAAAACGCTCTTTAATTTGCTTGTAATCTTTTTAATATTTGACGAAAACTTTACTTATTACAAATATAAATGTACCGTCGGTGTCGGAAACTAGGACAGTGCCTGTAACTGGGCCGTTTACTTTATATACGTTCGCGCTTCAAAGAATATATCGTCGTAACCATGCGTTTTACGACAGTAAAAGTATCTTATGAAGGACTTTGTGCTTTTACGACGTGACGTAAGACACTTAAGGGTACGCGCACTTTGTAAGCTTGAACGAAAAGATGAAGTTTTTTATTTTTTTTTATAAAAAAAATATCGAATTTTGGTTCGACCGCGGTGGTTGCACATGTCTTAAAGTGTATAAAAAAATTCTTTCGGAACGGTTTTAAAACAAACGGGCGGCACGCGAGCTTTTGCACAAAAAACTACCGTTTTCAACCTTACCGTGCGTCTAGCTCCCACACGTTTACGCCGCGTCCGTTAAACGTTGACGTGTAGCTTTAAAATAACCGTATTCGCCGAATAAAATAATATTTTTTGAATACAAGATATATATATATATATATATATATACATGTTATATATAACATGTCGCGTTTATCCTACGTTCTTATAGTCTATCCATCTAGTATTCGTTGTGGTTTTGTATAAAAAAAAATAAGACGAACGTAAGATCCAGTGAATACTTTGTTGCGGGACAGAATATATTTTTGTATAAAAATATTTTAAAGTTGCGAATTTTCTGCGTACGCGTTGAATATTTTTACGAACACTGGAAAAAAAAATATTTCGATGACGATACATGATATATGTGTGATACGTTCAAAAGTCAACAGCCCGGCGCGTGAATATGATAAAATCCGTATCGTGCGTGTGCTACATTCGTGAATATCGTGCTTTGGAACGTCGTGTCCTTTTTGGATCTTACGTTCGTCATTCTGTATATCTCACTTTATCGTTGAGGTGAGGTCAATGAATGTTCGTGTGTTCGTTCGCGATTCGGTTCGTGGTTCGCGTGTCCGCGTGTACTATTTTTGTTCCGTTCGTGCGTTTTTCCGCACGTAATATTTTACATTCGGTTGTTTCATGTATGCTATACTATTTAACGTTAGATCGTCGCGCGCGAGATTGACGCTCGACGTTTACGACGACGCGGCGTGTACGATCGTCTTTGCATTTTTTTATATAATTCTTTCTTGCTTCTTATACTTTCGCGACCGTTCTTACGCGAAAAACGTACGTACGTGCTGTATCAAAAACGTAACGGCAAACGTAAGTTAACGTTTACGTTACGTACGCGTTTCTGACGTAACGTACGTCGTTATCTTTTTCTTATAGACT